AAAGTTCCCTGTGAAGTTTGTAGATTTTAGTCTCTGTGTTGCATCTTTTCACACTTACATAAGTTCACTCTAAAGTTTCTACAAAAGATGAATGATGAATAAATGGGAATTTGTGGAGCAACTGCATCTTGTGGTGTGATGAAATGTAGGTTTCACAAACTGTGGGTACAGTACTTTGGGTGTTTGACAGAGGACTGGCTCTGGATTCCTTAAATGAAAACCCCAAGTAAATCATTGATGATTAGAAATGACTAAAACCTATACTTTTTAAAAATTCTCTTCCTCTATTTATATGAAATTTCTGGATCAATTCAAATATCTGTCATTTTTTGCAAACACTTCATTGCATTGCTTGTTGTAGCCTGTATAGACTAACTTAGACAAACTTTATTGATCCACAAGGGAAATTATTTGGACACAGTAGCTCAAACCATCACATCATAAAATATTATAATAACAGGAATGAAAAGTATAAACGGTAATAACAAATTCAAAATAAGCAAAATAAGTAGCAAAAATTGCGAGAGACTGAGATGTAAGTATGCTAATGACCTGCTGTTTCCAGGCTGAAATCAGATGTTTGCTTCCATAATAGCAGGCTGTGTACATGCAGAGAGTCTGGGCCCGAGGAGCGAGCATGTAGGAGGGAGAGCCGCCTATTCAGTCTCCTGGGATACCCATCATCTGGCTGCGTTCACAAGCCTAAGAGTGGAATTGTTTGGCCCATTCAAACGGCTCCATTGTGAGCAACTACACTGCCATTGTGCGACCTTGCTCTGAGTGACAACAGTTTATGTGGACTTGTGTTGGCCTGTGTCATTGGAGTATTGTGTAAGTGTTGCATATTATTATGCTCATCTGTTTGTGTGCGTTTGGAGCCCAGAGGTGTTTGTCTTGTCCCAGGGCAGGGGGGTTCACGGGGTGATCCAAAATTGATCAGTTTCAGCCACTTAAACTTGACCGTGTTCTTGTGCTAGAGGTAAATCATTTTTGAAAGATATTAATGGATGTAATATTTAAATTTGGATAAACTTGGATTTTTTTTTTCTTAACTGGGATCATTATCAATAAAGGTACACTGTGTACCTTTTCTGGCAGAGGGTCTGTCACCTGCTTGTTTCTTTGCATGTTCCACAGTATGACATTAAACAGCTCTACATTACATTTATTAAATTTCAGGTAATTTTATACCTTAAAAATACCTAGAAAAAGTTTTGACAGTCAGTGGGGTTGTCTCTCCACAGGTCTGACCTGTAACTTGGTTTCACACATCTTGGTTTGGTTTGGTTTTCATGAAGGTTCAAAGGTTTAATGCCATACTGTGAATACTGTTGGGAAATTGTAATGCATTATTTATTACTTGTTACTGTCATTTCAAAGTAATTTGTTACATTACAATATTACTCCATTTAAAATGTAAGGTATTACACGACTATTGCATTACTTTTAAGTTACTCTCACCAAAAAAACTGTGCGAAGATGCTGTAAATGGACTGGACCCAGACTAAACCAGGTCTAAACCAGGACTAAACCAGGACCAAAACAGAACTAATCTTGGACTAGGACTTGAAATCTAGGACCGTCCCTAATAGAACGCCAGGCCTGTGGAGCAGGGTGTCCGCAAAGTGCTATCAGGCATCAGCTGCAAAATTAGCCCTGTGAGGCATGGAGCTCTGCGTCGATCCTTTTGCCCGTTGTCACCCGACGATCTATCGTTACAGTTCCAACAGTCGGAACCGTAACAATATCGTGTTGATTTTAGCAAATTTGTATGAAGAAAAAACAAAAACCCACCGCTTCAATCCAGGTTAAAAATGCATTATAATGAGCGTTACTGACATTTGTACCGAGTAAAATATTACAATTTTTTCCCCTCTAATGACTTACATTACTGCGTTACAACAAAAAGCAATGCATTACAGTAATTTGTTACTTTTATAATGTCTTACTCTCAACACTAACTGTGAAACGTTCCAAATAAAGCAATAACATTTCCATGGAGAAAAGCATTTGACCAACCATCCACCAGGAAAGTTACACAATGCACCTTTAATTCCAGCAGTGATGGGGGACACACTGCAACATGTAGCTGTTGGGGTGATAATAATAGTAGTATTGGCTTTGGATGTATTCTCCATACTGATTTTTGTTGTTCACTGGAAGGAGCAAGAAGGCTATCTTTAACTTTTACTTGAATATGTTTAGGTTAAGGCACTATACATAGGTTTCAAGTGTCTGTTATTTGCAACATTTTAAGGACTTTCTTCCCATCCAAAAGATGTAATATTTCCTTGTATATTGTTATGGCAATAGTCTTAATTTCTCATCATTTTGAAACCCATGAATGTGCTCCTCAAATCTTTTCACTAATTGCTCTGTTGGATACAGTTCAGTGGGTATTCAGATTTACAGTCTGTGAGCGCATGTAGCATTGAGGCTAACACTAGTACAGATATAGTGCAGCCTGGTACAGTCACCGGAGCATGTTATGGTTTTAGCTCAGAGCAGATGGGAGTGGGATGGATTCTCTGCAGACTGTGGCTCTGCTTTAAATGTCATGTTATGTGTTTACAAAGCCAAAGCGATAAACAAAATACCATTGCTGACCACTCCAGTTCAAGACACTCTTCAGATATGTATTGTTGTTTGTTTGTAAACCAAAAAGTGAAAGGAAGTGATGTTTCCTCAAATATATATAATCTCCACAAAAAATGGGTAGTGAAATTAAAAAGGAAATCCCATTTTCTTTATTTTATCTGGTTGCCACATAAACCAATACTTCCTGCTTGACTGTGAAAGAAGACAAATCAAAAGAACTTATCTTATCCTAAGATGTGGATTTAAATGGTGGTAATTGAGCTGGCATTTGACCATAAAATTAATAACTTTCTTCTTTACTGGATATGATGCAATGGATATGAAACCATATCTTACCTAGCCACTTTTTTTGAGTTGCTGAAAAACTTGTATAAACTTTATATAAGAGGAGGTTGGTTTAACAGGTGCATATATTGAAATATATATTTTCAGCTATCCTTTTCAAATATAATATAAATGATGAGTATTTCCTTCTCATAAGAATTTAAATATATATTTCTCTTAACAAAAGACCTGTCTGGACAAGCCTAAAGTCTATGAAAATGAGTTGATCTCCAGGTCCAATCCCTGGAGCTTTGGCCTTAAAGGCAGTGAGTGTCAGGGGACAGGAAGCAGCAAAGTTAAGTGATAATGAATCGACTTGAGGCCTACTTTCTATTCTGGTGTTTGAGGGCCTTTCTAAAGTGGGGCTGAGTCAGATAAGAGTAATGGACACTCTGCAGGACAATGTCAACAAAAACCAGACCAGAGGTTAAGAGTGGGCAGGTCCCATTTTTGAAAGACTGGTTTGGTAGAAAAAACAAGATTTTCAAGCTTTGTTTAAGTCAACTTTTGCAAGAGTTTATTTTGGTCATTATAGGTGTGTATGAAAGCTATGCACAAGAAAACATTTTGTTTTGAGAGAATCTGGTGATATAAGTGCAAGTCTAATTTTGAGAGGTGTGGGGACGAGAGGTGTGTGAACAAATGTTTCCACGAGACGAGTAAGAAGGTGTGTGTCCTTTGCCTTAGAAATGCAAATGAAAATGCAAATGATTATTTTAGGAACTGCATTTGACATAGAAAATTGCCTATATACTTCATATGCCTTTTTAATTGTTATACTAATGTGAGTTAGTCTCAAGAAATTGTTAATTTTAGCTAATCAGACAACAGTATCAGACATTATTGCTACTGTACTGGTGTCTCATTTCGATGAAGGAAAAAATGTCATTAAAACATTTTCCACAAATACTGCACATTATTTATAACAGTGAGAAATTATAGACCAATTTATGCGCTTGATTACATGCTGACTATGTTTTCTTTAAGTTTACGGAGACACTATGAAAACAAAATGTGTATGACAGAATGAGGATTTCATGAACCAGGAATGAATAAATGTGTCTTGTGCATTAGCAGGTGTGCTGGAGCTGGGAAGTCTTCAGCCTTATTGTCAGACACTTCTGTCCTCCGATCATCTGGGTTTTCAGACATCTTATAACATTTCACACGTGTGCTCAGGGTGAGTTAATGTCATTACAGTCATTATACAAAGTTATCCAGTGGAGCTATTTTATTGGGCCAATTTGGGTGTTTATTTTTGTAAACACTTGCTCTCCTTGTTTTAAAAACTCTCGAGTTGCAAGAACATTCTGGGTTTGCAGCGGCACTCCTTTTTCCTCCATCAATCCAAAGCATGCACTATAGGTAAAATCCTCCATTCTATAGTCCTGACCGAGCCAGATCAACACCTTGAGCCGGGTCCCTGGGCACAAAGCAACACCCATTGCTCCAGACACATTGCCCCAGTGGAATTGAAGGTTGGGTCAAATGCTTTGCAGTTTGACCCCAGCACTGGTCAGACAATACAATATTTCACGTTCTACCTGCCAAGTCCCACTGTTTCCAAACAAGTTTAAATGTACCTCTTGTCTATGGTTGACCGCCCATCCTTAAATAAACTAAACTAAATAAATGATATCCAATTCAGAGTTTGGGTTGGGTTTTCTAAATGTCATTAGTCATATTTGGTATTTTTATCACACATCGCATTATCAGGTCGGGAGACCTTTACCACCTCTGGAGTGGCCCTGTGCAAAAATAGAGGGAGCATGATCTGCAGTGAGCTGTAATGGAATGACAAGTGGAGCGCCTCTCTCTCTCCTCTCCTTTTCACACCAGCTTTGCACGTCCTCGCCAGCTCGAAATAAAGAAGCTAATTATTCCTGTTAATCACAAGGCAGTCGAGCTGAATCACTGGACACCCTGCTGTTCAACATGGACACTCAAGCCTCAGCCAAGACCCTCCCAGCACTGTACTCTCTCACTCTAAAAAACAAAACAGCAATTTCACTTCAGCTTTTGCACAGGATGTTATGAAACCAGCTCGGAAACTTACCGAAGATCGTCCTTTTAATTTCTCACTTTCAACCAAGAGGCAAGACCTGCAGGAGCGAGAAAGGGGCAGGCCCAACTTTTTATTCAGATCTGCAGTCACAGCTCATAGACTCTGATCTGTACAACAAAGGAGGAAAGAGAAGACAAGACAAGAGAGATGGCCGCGGTGGACATTGTAGTTGAGGATGACTCTGATGAAATTATGCGTGAAGAAGCTGAAGATGTGTTTCTGGAAGACGGTAAGGTTGTGGATGGTGCTGTGTGCCGGTTTAAGGCTGTGAACTTTGACCTTCTCTGTTGTTGTCAAGGATGCTAAGAAAATGTTTTCAGGAATATCAGGATTTGTTATGTCTTCTTAAAGCACAAAGGTAAAAGTATATTGTTTGCGTATATTTGCATAACCTTCTGAAATATGTTTTTGCAACGCACTTTATTTATCGATTTTTCAACTTCTCACCCTTTTTAGAAGCAGTAGAGCTGTGCCCAGTGCAGTGTGGGCGTTGTTATGTAACACACTGATGTTTTAAATGGCTTTTATGCACCAGAATATTATTATTATTTTATGGTTGACTGTTTATTGTCTTGTCTAAAGGCAGATAGCAGGAGCAATTTAGATAAGACTGATATTTTAATGATAAGAGTGACTTGGTGTTGACAGAGTGAAAAGTCAGTCTCTGGATATCTCGCTTGATAGATCCGTGGAATTTGTGAGACTTTGATTCTGATTGAGATTCTGTGTTTTATGTAAAGAGGTTGAAAATTGTTTGTGACATCCATACGCCGACAACCCCCTGTGGGTCTGGCAGCTCGTATGAATAGATGAAGGGCCTCAAGTCATCACATTGGTACATGTTTTGTTTTGTAGGACAATAGAAATTAGGCAGGAATAATTGTTGGAAGATGCAATGTTCCTGTTTCTTGTTGTATTTGTATGTTAGATTTAAAGTGAAATTACAAAGACAAGTTCAGTTAAATAAAATGAAAAATCACAAAAAAAATGTGTACAGCTATGTTTCACATTTTTAACATTTAAATAGTTCATATTACACTATTTGTTCTATGTTATGATGTTGTTTGCCCATCAAAAACATACCTGTAGTTGTGTTTTGTTTCATTCACACAAACCCTGTATATTTAGGCTGGATTCTTCTTTCAAACAGAAAACCTTGTGATGTCATGTGATAATATAAGAAGTTTTTAAACTCCATACACTTTTACTAGAATTATTTCGATGATTTAAGCCCTGGAATTGCCAATCTTTACCAACCAACAGATAAAAGGTACCTGTTCACTTGAAGACTACCACTCCATGACATCACAAGGTGGAACAGAGCATTTTAAGCTTTTCAGATGTAGACTAATGATGCAGGATAATGCAAACATGCATGAATGAAACAAAACACAACTCCAGGTATGCAAAACTTTGGGGGGCAGGAGTGTTACTTGGATATACAGAAATAGTACTGAATTGTTGTTTTGGTGCTCTTCAGTGTAGGGACCAGTCTCAAATACAAAGTAGAAAAAATTGAGGCACTCAAAAAGTACAAAATAATTAAAAGCCTTTAATACCACACGGCATGACAACTCCAGGTATGTTTTGATGAGGTAACAACATTATAACATGGCTTAAAGCTCACAAGAATTAATGTTGTGTAAAATAGTACCTTTAATTGACATTTTGTGAATTCAGCTGTAACATATTTTAAGCATCATTCAGCTACATTTTGTTAATTAAAACCATCTTCACCATAAAAAACATAAAATCAAGTCATTCAGCGTTCCCCCACACTAAACCCATACACTGGTGCTCTGCTGCAGCTTTATGAACATGGGGCTCTGAGGAGGATATTCCCACTCATTGCATCACTGGGTGTGTAATGTATGTTAATGCCCACGCTGACCCACTTCTCACTGAGCTGCACCGGCGGCTAATGTGGCGCTGTCTTTGAACACGGAGCTGTGAGGAACATGAAGCCAGCTGACTCCGCAAATGAGCAGCCAATCAGGGAGCAGCTTACTGGATGTGTGGGTGCTGTTAAGATTCGTAGATTCTTGTACTATGGATCACATACGTTTTGTTCTAATTATTGTCAAGAGGGGGTGCTGTGCCATGTGCCATGTTCCTATTGCATATGTTCATGGTCCAAATGCCAACAACCTGATTTATTAATTCTGCCCTTTTCTCTCTTCTTTATATTGCTTTTCCTCTTTATAATCTCCTCATATTGTTAATCTTCACTTTAATAAGGATTTGGCATTTAGATCAGATGCCCTCCCTGGTGCTGAACTCTTCATATAAGATCTATTGTGAGGTACATTTTGTATTAGAATAATGTAGTATTTTTGTATTTGCGGTATTCACATGCAAGCAGATGCTCTTAATGAATCATATCTTTATAATGTTGGGTTGTACCATGGACAAACAGAGTAAGTAGCATTTTGACCAACCTGCATGGCAACAAGTGTTTGTTTGAGAAAGTATCAAAACAGTTTGTTGCTCAACATCACAGTTCCTTGGTTTTTCAGTTCCTTAAAATGTGGCTTTGTATTTTTAACCAAATTATGTGTGTGTGGGTTTTTTTCATTATTAAAACACATGCTTGCTTCTTGACTCCAAAAAAATATTGTTCCATGTGTCATATATTGAAACAGAAGATGATTTAGTAATTATTGTGACCTATTTTTGCTCTTTATTTTACTCCTAAAAGGACTTCTATACCAACAACCTTCTATAATCTAATGCTGAATCCAAGCTATTGCGCCCCCCTTTGATTATTATCTGCTAACCTCAGTAAATCACCTCTATACGAACCCACCCCGTCTGACCTGAAAGCCTCTATTCAGCACACTCTCAGATTAAACAACATTACACACAGGACACACACAGCACGGCTTTCTTATCACTGATACACACATGCTCACCGATATAAATGTCCACCTCAAATGGGAATAAGTGGTATCTTAGGGACTAAAAAATACACAGAGATCTTTATGGCTAATTCAAAGAGCTTGTGTTTCTTTGAGGATGTGGTTGGCGGTAAATGAAAGCCATAGCACCAGTGTAGTATAGCTCTAATGACAGTAAAAATACAGTTAAGTGTGAGATTAATGGGAGTTGTTTGGTGTCTAAATAAACCACTGTTTGAGTAACAGGGTCAGGGCAGAAAGCATGAAGAGTAGCGTTCTTAAGTCACAAGTGTCCAGTGTAGTGGAGATCAGGAGGGCTCTTAAATACAGAGTTATAGCCTTGTCCCTTTGGAGTGTCTGTCTCGCTCTAGTTGTATTCGCTATTCAAATTTATGGAGGTAATAAGAACATATGGATCCAGTTAGCAACTCTTGGATTTTAGCCTCAACAGGTGTGGCATTTTCAGGGGGGTTATTCGGTCATAACTTTTAGACAAAACACATTATAATTCCCCAAACATAAACTAATTTTTATTATCAACAGAAAGAAATACCTTTATTGTTAGCAGGCCATCTGTATAACCTCAGCTTTAACTTCAGCACTGCTGGTGGAGTAAGGAAACAAATCAAACTTAAATTGTATAGCCAAAGTAAGAATGCACACAAAAAGACTGACCATTTCTTATGACCCCCCCAATAGCTAAATAAATGACTTATAATAATACATAATAATGCATCAGCCATCTGACGTTCAGAGACACAGTTTGTTGCATTATTCATTCACTCCGTACCCAGTGGTGATAAGCTACTACTGTAGCCATAACTGATCAAGGACAGACTGACAGAAGTGAGGCTGCCAGTCTGTGTCATCAGCCCCTCCAGCCACCACCAACACACACACCACATTCATACTAGGGAATATGGGTGAAGGGCCTTGCCTAGAACACACTGGCAGTCTTTGCCGCTGGCACCTCAGTGAAACTCTAGCATCATAGCTGATAGTCTTAAATTAGAAATGCATATTTCTACATAGTATTAGGTGTGAACAGAACATGTACACATATTTACCTTTTACATAATAGATTGTGCTCACATTGCGTTGTTGTCAACAATTACATAACAAGTCCTGTCATTGTCAGTCTCAACAGCTTTTGTGTTCTTGTTTGTTTACAGTCACAAAGACCTGTCAATCACTATTTGGCTTTAGGGGCGTTACTTGTTCAGTAATTGCCCCACTCACTTTTCTTTTAAACGCCTTCAAAACTTTAAACATGGAGAAACAAAAAGTTGTCATTTAAAGGCTTACAGTGACACAGGGCTCTGCTTGGATTATTGAACAGCATTTGCTCAACTTTAGGACATAACTTGAGGGTCTGGTTTTACCTTAGCAACAACACAATTTTACCAAAACAACTGCAAATGCTTAAACATGCTCTGACATGCAAGCTAATTTACATTTACTACCATAAATGCCTACTATAATAGAGATTACAGCAGCTCTATCACATGTGAATTAAATTTTATGTTTTATTTAGTCAGTAACTCAAATGTATTGCAATTGGATGCCGTATGTGTGCACCTCAAGGTATTTATCTCACTTTCAGATTGTGCCTTGAGGGGGAACCCAGGGGACAATAGCCAAGAACACAGCAGCATTAGTCTGATAAACAGCACTCAACCAGGACTAAGGCTGCAAGTCTAGAGCCAGAATCAGGTTTCACAAATCCAGTTCTCCTCCAGTGTCTCTGTCTGTACATGTCCAGTTCAGCATGCCCCAGGAAACTGTATCCCCCAAAGAGCCAAAATGGAGCCCAGCGAAGCACTAGATCATAGGAAACACAATCCTTGATGCTGACTGTAAAAGGGGACAGTTGATTTATACACACACATCTAACAGCTTTGAACTAAAATACAGAGGTGCATGGAGAGGATAACAATCTGCCAGAGGGAGAGGTATATTTAAGTCAAATCCACTGCAAAAAGAGAAAGATATTTTTGAAGGTGCACTTTGTAACTTTTCTGGTGGACCTGATTGTCTCCTTGAAAATGGTATTGTGTTGATTGTGTGTTTTATTGATCTAAAACAGAGGCCCCAACCACCAACCACCAGGTCCCACAACCATCTGGTACTGGGCCCAGAGAAAAATATTATATGCCTATCTTTATAAAGAAGACAAAGAAGTAAAACTACCACCATATTCACAAATGTAAATAGCTAATTCAAATATGATTATTATGTCTTTTTTTTTTTTTCAAACTATGGTTAAGAGTTATAAGGACTTTATGCTGTTATAACTGGCCCCACCCCCTCCATCGGTCCCTGAAAAATTGTA